GCCAACTAACAATAAAGTAATGACTAAAAAGGTATTATGATTAATGCAGTTACCAGTAACCAATTATCCATTCCAGAAAAGCTCAGGAAACAAACAAAACAACAAAAAACCCAACCCCAAACCAGTGACCAGAGTGTTACGAAGCCACTAAAGCGAATACACCTCCAAGTGTTTTACGCACAGCACTTGCTTGTAAGTAGAAGAGCGCTGCGCCTTCCGGACTCTGATCCAACGTAAAGCCTGGGAATATCTGCGCCAAAGCAAGCGCTGGGCGTGGAGCCCGCAATCAGCAGCACGTTTAGAGGGAACGGATGCACCCACAAGGTCAAGCTTCTGCAGATAAACTCGCCAAAGAGTTCACTTTTTCCTGTGTGCACTGGGGCGGGGGGGAGGTCACTGCAGTTATTTCACTTTTAGGTAACAGATGGAAGAGAAACCTCTGGGCGAAGTCAGGCAGTCACCATGTGCCGGGGAGGAAACATCACCCGACGGCTGCGCCATTTCCTGGAACAGGGTCAGGTTAAAACTCCTGGCAGGAGCAGCGTGCCCATCAAAATCAGATGCTGTGATTTTTGGAGTAGAAGAGGGACCAAAACCTGATCTTGAGGATTACGCTGGGAATTTGCTAGCGAGACACTAGCAGGTGTGCAGGCTATGTAGTTTGGTATTTACAACCCAGTAAACAAAACAAAACATGGTAACAAGCGAGACTGTAAGAGGATCACATTCAAATCTGGGAACAGGCAGAAAAAGCAGTTTTGAAAGTCAGAAAAATCTTAGTGCAAGATTGTTACTCTAAACTCAAACAGCCCAAAAAATAAATAATACTATAAGGCATAAATGATGAAGACAGAGGAAATTAAGTATTTGTGTGTATCTATTTACCTATAGATACACAGTCACTTAAATATATATACACAGCTACTTAAATACATCCATTAAAATATACATACATATAAAACATAGATCTAAACAAACCTACTCTCCAAAACACAGAAAATGATCTAGAATTGAATAACAACTGTCTTAAACTTATTTCATAACTCCTAGTTATTATGCAGACCACATTCAAACTTTTATGGGCTTTTGTGGCTACTGAAAATCATTTACCAGGTAAGGAAAGACAGGAAAGACCTACAGATCCATTTTCTTGCAAGGACAAGTGAAATGAGGCCCAAGAGCTGACTCAGTCTTCTACCATGAAAGAGACAACATAAAATGCTGAGTCAGCACAAAAGTGCCTACACCCTGCCTTGTTCCTTTTGTAACAAGAGTCAGCCAAAAGAAGGCTGGTGGGATTTTACAGAAACCATCCCTGAAATAAACATGCAATGCATCCCTACTGTGAGAAATATAGAAAGAATGAAAGAAAGAAAAAAAAAAAAAAAGGGAAGGTAGAGCATCTAAAATCAGGAACGATGCTTGAGAACAGTTCTTAATCTAAAAGAAGCCAAGCAGAAAAAGTGGAAATGTATTTCTTACGCATTGTAATAAACTGTAAAAGGCTGTCTAAAAGACCTGATCAGTTGTCTGCCTGCCCCTGGGGTGCTGTAAAAAGGGCACCCGGTGAGAAGCCCAGCTGGCCGGGATGCGGGAGCAGGGGGAAGGCAGAGCAGCAGTGGCCATAACGCACAGCCCAGAGCCCATCCTGCTGCCCCCACAGGGCATCAGCCCCAACAGGGCCCTCAATAAGTCAATGGCTTGTTTTAAACCTGCTGTAATTGTTGCTTCCCGTACATGTATAAACTCCAGAAATGAAGGACAGACATTGGGAAGATGACATGGGCCATCTAGACAACATGATGATTTGGGGAGATAAGAAATTTCACTGTGGCAGTGATGTAGCCCTGAAAGAGGTGCCCAGAGAGGCTGTTGAATCTCTATCCTTGGAGACTTTCAGAATTTGTCAGGATAAGGATGACCTTTAGCAACACACTCTAACACCAAAGTTTCCCTGCAACTAGAAACCCCTGAGGTTCCTTACAGCCTCTCTCATTCTCTGACCCTCTGGTGTATTTCCCTTCTGGCCTTGTACAAAATATATCATTATTTAGCAATTTCCTTACATTTCTACATACAATATTTTACCAAAATAACATTTTTATAGCTTGTTTATACATATTATATTGTTTAAATGTACGTTTAAATATATATTTATGTATGCATATATGTATACATACACACATATACATAAAGGTGTATATATATACATACATATACACACACACAATTCTACCCACCAATAAAACTAGAGAGTTTCTGTGTGATGAAACATGATGTTATCAGTTGCTGACCTCAAGAGCAGACATTTAAAGGAAGCAGGAACTGTGTAAAGGAAATGATAGAAGTTGTCGAGTTCTCCAAGTCTGTGTTTCAATAGAAACAGGATCAGTTCTCAGAAAAACATGTTACGGTGGTCTGTGATAACACGAAGGATTAAGTGGCTCCTGAAAATTTAAATTGGCAGGAATATATTAGTAGAAGAAAACACCTAAAGTAGAAGAAACTTTACAATAAAGTAAGAACATCTGTATAGGATTCATAGTCCAATATCGTCAAACAATACATTATTTGGAGGAGTAATCTCAAGTTAAACTAGTCATCTTCTATTCCTGCACAGTATTACCAGACATAGGTATTAGCAAATTACTATTGCCACATTTCTGTTCTGCTAGCAGGTCCAGGATGTACAACATGGAGCAGTGGGCAAAGGTTTTTTTGTCATCAGTTTCTGGTAAAGCAACATCTTGTGTCCATAATTTTACAGACCAGGTTTAAGGGCTTATTGGTTCAGATATTCTCAGCAAAATTCTAGTTTTTACTAGATTCACATTTGTGATTTTCACAAATTCACACCCAGAGACTGGGTTCACTGACAAGCATGGGAGGACACTGAGGTTAAAAAGAGCTGTGGGGTGGGGATGTTGCCGATCTTTATTTCCCTTTCTTCCTTCTTCCTGTTTTCCTGGGACCTAAAACTTCCAGGCTTACCTCCACACACATAAGAATATCCTGAAACAGACCAAAAGCATATAGCCCAGAATAAAGTCTCCAAGCATGGTATCTGTTAATATCTCATGAATACTTGATCTGAATTTTTTAGTAGAAGGACTTCCTTGAGCTTTACAGTAAAGTATTTTTGGAACAAGGAGGTAGCAGAATTTGTTCTTTCTACTTCATACATCAATACAGTATTGCAGCAGCTCAGCAAGAAGCACCTTCTTAGTAGCCTGTCTGTCTTCCAGGCTGAAGAGCTCTACATTAGTCACTTCTTTATGGAAGCCATGCCGTGAGTTGAACCACATCGGGTCCAACACACATTTTTGTGGAACTTTACCAGTGATGTGACCCTCCCCTATTAAAAAAAAAAAAAAAAACAAACAAAAACCAAACAACAAAACCAAAAAAATCACAACTGCTTCCCAGTTTTTATCCAGTTATTTATAAATGCAAGTAATTTCCACCTTATTTCACAGCTGTTCAAGGAATTCATCAAGAGCCTCTGGAAATAACACCACACTTCCTTATTCAGATAATTACGACTTTCAAAGAACTCCAATAGGTTTATGAGACACGTCATCCTTGACAAGAGCCAAGTTGACTCTTTCTCAATAGATCACACCTACCTACCTGCTACTAATTCTTTTCCTTACCACAGTTTCTAAATAATATACCTGGAAGAGATCCAAGTCTTACCAGCACACAGTTCTCTGGTTCTCCTCTGTGACTCCATTAAAAAAAAAAAAAAATTATTTTTCACCTTCTGGTAGCAAATTTTTTTTCATTGATCACATCTAAAATTGAGCCTTTGCAAAATTTTTGTGGACAGCTGAAGTCTACTTGAATTCTATCATTACTACTTATTTTCTACCATTGTAGCCTCACCCGTCACCCAAATGTTCATTAAAGATCATGAATGGTCAAGCATTACCAACTTTATTTTAAAGAAACCAAATCATATTTTTCCTAGACTTGATATTTCAACCTGTATAGCCTCTGAAGTGCATTGAAGTGCAATAAGTTTTCTGTCACTACAGGCTTGGTGATAGCTTTTTCAATACTTTTTTTTTTTTTTAACTTCAATCTCTCACACAATCTTCCTTCTTAAGAGAGGTATTTAACAATTTCATTGCAAAATTGTCTTTGGGGAACTTTTTTTTTTTTTGCATTCGCTGTCTGAGTAGGATAGATGTTCTGTGATGATTCTGCCATAATTTAGATTTAACTGTGTGAAAAGGCATGAAGCACCTGCCAGCAGGTACTACAACAGCACAGTACAGCCCCAGCCTCAGAAGGCAATTCTCTCTGGGATTATGTCACTGATGCTTTGCAATGCTTTTGGTTTGAATACATTTTGTTTCTTCAACATCCAAATACTCAAATCAGAAAGGGTGCGTCATTGTAGCAAAATCCATCTGCCTATTTACATTATTTTTACTTCAAGAATCTCCCCCCTCCCCAACTATAATATCCCCTGCTCAATAACAATGATCTTCCGTCTCCTCCAACACCCTGCCTGAGTGAAAAGGCAGAAGTTCAAAATAATTAATTGAAATGATTTAAATTCTTCCTCTAGAAATGCAACTTTTTTAGCTTATGGTCTACAGACCGGTTCTAAGGGGAGAATGAAAGAAAAACAAGCCTTAATGTCACTCTTAAATATACAATAAGAAGGCCTTGTGCTTGCACTGCGGTTGTTTAAGAGCTCCACAGGATTCTCATGTTAGATTCAGCACTTACAACTACAGTTAGGTAAACTACCAGACAGGACACATGGACGCGAAGCCAACTCATGGCAGAGACAAAGCCTTGCTTTTTCCCCAGCTCTTGGCCACCATACCACACAAACCTGTTGCAGCAAAATAACCTGGCTGAAGCCAAGTTCAGACGAAGCAGAGGAGACGACTCTACAGCCGTAGCTCTGTCCTGACCCCTTTGGCTGAAGGCACATACCTCTGACTGGCCGACCCATTCCTCTCACCCCCCGGCTGCTCGCTCACAGGACAGCCCGCGCTGGGGACGGCCGCTTAGCTGAACCCAGAGTCTGCCTTAGCCCAGAACCGACCATGGCGTCGGGCCCGTGGCACGGACTTCACAACTGTGCAGACCTGCTGCCTGTAAACCAGAATCATCTCAGCAAACGGCAGCTAATCCTTCGTTTACAATTGCTCATGCCATCCTCAGGCATTAGTGCTGTAACTGTGAAAGTCCCAGCAACTAAGTATCCAAGAACAAGGAAAGTCCCAGTTTAGAACAGCCTTATGCATCTCTGTGAGCATTTCTGGTAAATCTGATGATAACACAATCTGCTTTACACTGTGTAGCATAAGACATATGAATACAATGCAAAGCTGAAGTTTGGGAAGTACTACATTTGTAAAGCTGGGAGTGACTGGAAAAGTACGCTGCCGCCTGCGGTGACTTATCCAGGGGACAGCAGCAGGAGAAACACGGCACCGGCCCACCGCTTCAGGGCTCAAACCACCCCCCGCCGGGGCTACCGGAGGAAAAACACCTCTCCTGAGCTGCACACCCACCGCCAACCTGCTACTGCTTCTGCCGTGCGGAGAGGCGGGAACCAGTCAAAATCAGCGACAGTTTTGACTTTGGGAGCAAAGCTGTGATTTTAAAGCTGTTGTGGGTGAGGGGGGTGGGAAAAAAATTTTTGGGCCAAGGGGAGAGAGGTGGGAATAGTTTTACAAGCCTCCACGTTTCTGAGCGAGCTGCAGCCGGGACA